TACACTTATGTATTCATTACTATCTCAAAAGTAGATATATGAGAGCAAAATCAATGTATAAGTATCATTTGTCCTATTTTCGGTTCAGCAGGAATATCAATAATTTAAAAAATATTTATCAATAAGTAAAATAATATAATAAAATTTCTTCTTTGCTCTTCTGAAAGTTGTAATTCACAGACATCGGATTTAAACTTACGAGTCTGCTCAGTAAAGCTGGGAACTTGAAGAGTGAGGAAGCTAGCTGGACATTTGTGCAAGTAAAGGCACTTTGTCGCAGTTATTTGCAAGACAGTTAATAAGCCTGTAGCTTATAAAGTCAGTCATTTTTCTGTCTCAGGCAATTTAAAGCTTTCTTATTACTTGGTAAGGTGACTGATGAGGGACACTCAGTATGTCCCTCATGGAGATAAAAGGGCAGGGTGGTTTGGCAGGCAGGCGAAGAAAAACCCCTTCTTTGGCTCAGCGCATTTGCCCCCTTGAATAACTGCTCACTGAACTTGAGGACAAAGACCTTTTCTCCCGGGCAGCTTTCTTCCTCCTTGTCCAGGCATTCTGTAAGCAGTCTCCTAGTTACAGGGGTACAGCGCTCCAGCCCCCCAAGCCTGCACCCAGCCTCCTGTCATTTGTCAGTGGATGAATGTTTGGAGACGCAGCTCCTGTGCTGTGAACTCCAGGGAATGTGGGGTTTTAACATCTTGTTCCCAAGAAGATTTCATGAATTCTGAAAGGTGTTTGATAAGGAGGACAAAGATGGTTAGACATTGAGTGTCAGGATACTTGACGGTGGCTGATAGCACAATATCTAAAGCTGCGTGTAGTCCAGTATGGGAGCCTCTAGGCACATGTGTCTATTTAACTAAAAAAATTTTTTTTTAAATTGTGGTAAAATACATATAACATAAAATTTACCATCTTAACCATTTTTAAGTGTACAGTTTTGTTGTGTTAAGTATATGTATATTGTTGTGCAACTAATCTCCAGAACGTTTCATCTTGCAACACTGAAATTCTATACCCATTAAACATCTCCCAACACCCCAATTTCCCCCCAACCCAGCCCCTGGCCACCGCCATTCTCCTTTCTGTCTCTATGAGTTTGACTGCTCTAAGAACCTCACGTAAGTGAAATTATACAGTAGTTGCAGTTTGCTGACTGGCTTATTCCTCTTAGCATAAAGCACAGATAAATGTACTTTAAAATATTCTGAACAAGTACTTCTTAGGAAATGCCTGTCAGTTGAAACATCTATGGGAGCTAAATTGGAGTGTTTCATTCATTGGAACTGTTGGTTTATTGCTAGCCTGGCAAGAATCCTAATGGGTATTTAGCACAAAGAAGCCTTATGCAGTAGACCCACCCATTAAGCCTGTTGCTTTCAAAGGTTTTTGCTTGAGACCCACAGTCAGAGAGAGCTGTTGTGTTTCAACCCAGTAAACACACACACACTTATATGTGTATATGTGTATACCCAAACTTAAGGTTCCTCTTACCAACACCATGAGAGTTGCGTATACTGTATTCTTTTCTTAAAAAAATGATTCTCTTAAAAAATTGCTGATTTTACCCACTAAATTGAAATCTCATCCACTCAGTTGATTTCATAACCCACGAAAAGACCACACCGTGTAGTTTGGAAAACACTTAACTCATACCTGGGTTCCTTTTCAGGCCTATCATGTAACACTGCACCCCCCTCCCCACCCCCCTCACCTCCACCTCTGGGTCCCCATGCTTCAGAGTTACCCCTCAAAACAAACAAGTTAAAAGAATTACCGTCATGGGCCGGCCGAGTGGCGCGTTGGTTAAGAGCTGGCTTGGGATGCCAGAGGGCCCTGGTTTGGATCCCACATATGAGGGCCAGTGACACTGCCCTCTACAGCTAAGATGCTGAACAACAGCTCAACCTGGAGCTGGGCTGCCGTGAGTCGCCAGCGATGGCGTAGGCTGCAGCCCCTGTGGCAGTGGGTTGCCATGGGCTACCGTGTGTAGCCAGCAGCCAGCGTGAGCGGCCAGCAGCCAGCGTGAGCGGCCAGCAGCCACTGTGATTGGCCGTCCAGAAGCCGGCGACTGATCTGCCTCACCCTGGAAGAGCGCAATGATGGTGCCAACTTGGGCCAGTGAATCAACGTCCTCCACAACTAGACTGAAGAACAAAAGGACAACAACTTGTCTGTTCCCCTTCCCCCAATTTCCCAGCACTGTTCCAATACCCCAATTCCCCAATAAAAATCTTTAAAAAAAAAAATAAAAAATAACCATCATGGCTATTTTTTCTGGGTAAGCTCTGTTCACTGACTTTAATGCTGGTCTTCATAGAGTGTAGTTACGATGGGAAATTCTTTATCAAATGGTTAGACTGTTTCTCGAAGCCAAAGATAAATGCTGAAAAAACTGTATGCAATATGTTTCTGCATTAGCATGTGTGATTGGGAGTTAAGTGAATTTTAGTTTATTTTTCTTTGTGGAGGAAAATCTGACATCTCATAATGCTGTGTAAGGTTACAAAGGGGAAAGGAGAAAAACCTTAAAGCATTTTTGTGTGTGTCATGCATGAATAATGTAACAGTTCCTAAAAATCCTATGAATAAAAATTTCAAAGTGCATATTTTGTACAGTATATAGATGAGTTACCTCGTCCTTTGTGTAGGAGGTGAGCTATCTGCTTAGAGGAGGTGGTTGGAGGTTTATATATATATGGATAAAACTTTTTTTTTTTAGTTTGAATATCTGGTATGTTAACTGGTATTTTGATAAATAATAGGAACACAATGGAGTTCCTTTCAATCACTTTCAGCAGGATTTTATCTGACTGCAGAGAGCTGACTGCCTGCTGGGCCAGCTTTTCTTTTCCTGTAAAGGAGCCGCTGTAGGAGTCCTGTCCACTGTTTGTGTGAAATAACAGGAGTGAAAATGTGTGTACTCCTTGAGTAACTCTGAATTGGGCAGACTATAAAAAAAAACGTAAAAGAAAGTATCACAGAATAAATATAATAACACTGAATAAAAAAATTTCATCTTAAATATTACTCAAAGAAAAATTTTCCAGTCTTGAAATTTTAGATGTGTCAGGACATAGAAGTGGAGTAATTTTTTTTCTTTAAAATAAAATTCCAAAATTGGTAATGTCCTCTGGGTTTACTTATTTTTTAAAAAATCAGTTTTGTGATCATATAAGCATATATTTTATAGGAAAATTGGAAATTAAAGGAAAATATGAAAAAAGAAAAGCCCAGAAAGAATTCAATGGCCAGGCTACCATTGTAAGCATTTGGGGCACATTTCCTTCTAGTCTTTTCCTATGCATATTTTTACATAAGTAAGATCATTTACTTTGGACCCTCTCCCCAAACCATTTCTCCCATGCAATTAAAAACTCTTTACAAACATGTTATTAATGATTTTATAGTATTCCACCATATAGATGTAGCATACATTTTTAGCCATTTCTCTGATGTGGAACGCTTAAACTTCAGGCAGTTTTTCACCTGTATAAACAAATACCTCTGTGATGAAGACTTGTGTGCATAAATCTTGTCCGTATTCCTGACCGTTTCCTTAGGTTAGAAACATAGGGAATTCCCCGTGGATCCCTTTATCTCCAGCTAAAGAGCTGTGTCCTCCCTATCACAGCCAATTTCTTTGAAAATTGTCTATATGCCCTGGCTCCGCTTCCGACCTAAAACCTGGCTAAAACGCCTTCAGTAGCTTTAGTGTTTATTATGGGATGGACATTGCAACCCTTGCTGTGGCCTTCAAGGCCCAGCATGGACCGGCCTACCTACCAACCTCTCCAGCCTCTTCCCCGCTCTCTCTGGCCTCAGCCGCTCTGGCTTTTTAATGTTTTGGCCCCTGTCCCTCTCTCCAGCCACAGAGCCTTCCAACCTGCATCTCAGCTCCTCCCCAACCATCTGTCCTTTGTGTGGGAGGTGAGATACCTGCTTAGAGTAGGTGGTTGGAGGCTTGATGAGAAATGAAGGTACCAAAAGTTTATGTAGGAGAGAAAGAGAGTAATTGACCTGAGAAGTACACAAAGATTCCCAGGTAGCAATGAGGGCCGCTTTCAAGGTGTAGTCTGAGTTAGAAATGGGAGATTTGCATCAGAGGACATGGGTTTGGCATCCAGGCTCTGATCACCTTTAGTTTCTGGAGAAAAGAGCTTGCTTAGGCTCAGCCAGCCTGGTGAGTTCAGTAGCTGCTTCCTAAGGTTTGTTTTCCTCACTCTTCTGGAAGTGTCCTGCCTTCTCTTTGCTGATGCAATTTATATGGATGACAGCACATTTTGTCATTTGACTAAGTGGAGGACTTCCACAAATAAGTATTTCTGGGGTCATTGGAAATGACAATGTGAAAATCTCCATTTCTGGGTTTATTGGGAAGTTGTAACGCTTCTCTGTCCAACAGGATTCCTACTACCCACATGTGGTTATTTAAATTTAAACTAATGAAAGTTTGTGATAAAATTAAAAATTCAATTCCTCAATCACTAACTACACTTCAACAGCCACCTGAGGCGAGTGGCTACTGTATTGAACAGTGGAGATGGGACATTTCCATCATTCTAGAATGTTCTTTTGGATAGCACTAATCTAAAGAGTAGAAAAGGATCCAGCTAAGTCATCTCCAAAGCTTCAGTGTGTAGAATGGTTATCCAGGTAAAATAAATGGATAATTAACCTCGGCTAGTTGGCTGCTGGTTGTGATACAGTTTGCAAGGCTCATCTAGCATTAAAAAAAAACAGGCATTAAAATTCTGCTCCCTCTGGCCTTCCCAGTCATTCACAAAATCCAGTGGAAAAGCCAGCCTCCCTGGCCCCACATAACCCTGGGCTTCTGTTGCCCACATCTTCATCATGCTCAAGTGACCCAGATGACTTCCTGACCAAGCAGATGTCCTAGCTGAAGACTAGGTACTTGTCCAAAAACCTGTGGGTTTTATTTCTTTTCTAGAGGTACATCTCATTAACACAAGCCCTGTGGACTTCTACTATTTTTATAGATCAAATAAAGTAAGGTTCTCCTCAGAGATGAGACACCAGTACTTTTGAGATGGCTCCACAGTAGTGGAGGAAGGGAAGGCATATTACAGACGAGAGGCATACAGACACAGGTAAGCGCACCTTATCTCCATCTTATCTTCTTCGGGGTCCGTTACACTCTATTTGGCTCAGCCAGCCCTTCCTCCCACCCCCAAATTCTAGGAACCCTCTAAAAAGGCATTTTATCTTATAATTATTCTTGGTTTCTCTTTCACACACAGAGTCTTTGTTTATCTCTCTGTACCCCTGAAGTCTGAAGATAATGCAGTTTTTGTGAAAATGAAAAAGGTCAAGGGGAGAAAGAACTGGAGTCTCTTTATCTTCCTGCCTTTTCGTTCTCACACAGGGGAGAGGGGATATTTTTCTGAGCTGGGAGGGAATTATCTTCTGAGTTATGGGCTGCCATGAGCAATGCAACCAACTCTGACAGCCCAGGCTGTGCAAGTACAAGCTGATGTGAAGTAGCCCAGATGTAGACAGAGCAATGTGGTCCCTCACGAAGATGTTTCTAAACATACAATGTTGCCGACTCTGCAGTTTGGGAATTGCTCCAGTTATCAGTGAGGTGAGCTGGTTCTGACTGGCTTGCTCAGCAGAACATTTGAGATGCTGCTCTATTTGAACAGTTAAACCCCAAATAAAATATCTTATACTCATGTAGCCTCCAGAGTTTGCAAGATATGTTCTTAGGCATCATTTCATTTGATACTCATGATAAACCTCTGGGCTGGGGCAAAACATTGGCAGAAGAGAACACCGAGGCTCAGAGAGGTAAAGTGACGCTCAAGGTCACACAGCTAGTAGGTGGCAGGGCCGAGTTTTGAATCCCAGTTGCTTTGCTGAGAACACTGCTTTCCTTCTCACTTATATTTTGAATTTGTAAAAATAAAACACATTTAAGTTGGGTGGTTGATGGCACGAATGTGATAGTTGGTTCCATAGATCATGTTTGTTGAGTGGGGGTTGGAGAAGGAGCAACTATAATTGGGTGGCGTGGGTCCTGCCCTCAGGGACCTTTCTTTGAAAGAGTGGAAGCAGTACAGTTATAAGCAACAAATGCACATTATCCTAGAACAAACTGAATGCATTAGTGGTTATGATGCTAAAAAAAAATGACATAGTTCTTTATAGAAGGTTTTCTGAAACAAAGGGATTTTGAATCAGATCTTGACAGATATTCACAAAGACCACAAGAAGGGCATTCTAGCCAGGTGCAGGGATGTGGTGGTGAGAAAGAGCTGCAGAGAGTCAGCTTCAGTTTGGTGGGGGATTAAGTGAGAATTGAATACTTGTTCAGTATTTATTGAAACTCTCCCCTGCAGAAGACGTTGCAGAGAGCTGGGTTTACAGTGGTGTACAAAGGAGACGCAATCCCTGCTTTCATATTGCATAGACTTTGGGGCAAAAGACTAAGTATTGATTGAATTACACAGGTATTTCAGATTTGATTGTTTGTATAGCACAGTGACATAAATTAGAGTGGCCTTTGAGCTGGTATGTGAAGGAGCAGAAGTTAAGTAGGCAGCTGGTTTTGGTGTAGGGATCAGGGAAAGGAGTGTTCAAAACAGAGGGCTCGGCCTGTGCAAAGGCCTTGGGAGTATGGGAGGAATTGGGAAAAGGCCTGTGTGTTGGAGTTGAGAGAGTGGACGGACGAGTGGCAGATGAGGCTGGGGAGGGGGCACGAGCTAGATCAGCTTTTAGTCTTTGTTCTAGGAGCTGTGGGAAACCTATCAAGGGTTTTAAGCAGGAATGACATGACAAAAACCATCCTTTTAAAAAGATCACTTCGGCTGCCATGTGGCGAATGTTTTGAAGGGGGAATAATAGCAGTTATGGAGTAATCCCTTAGGAGGCTACTGCAGTGATCCAGCCTGGAGAGGATAGTGCTTGGTGCAGGGTGGTGGTGGTGGAGGTAGAGACAAGTGGATAGTTTCCATAGAGATTTGGGAGCTCGAACCTACAGGACTTGGTAATATGTTAGGCAATGGAGAAGCAGGTGGTAAGGATGGTTCCTGAGTTCTGGGTGCTCCAGTGAGATGGATGGTGGAACTGGCCACTGGGATAAGGAACCTTGGAAAGGGATCCAGTTTGGGGAAGAAGGTGATGAAATCAGCTTTGGATCTCCAGTAGGCAGCTGGGTCTATGGGTTGGGAGCTCAAGGAGAGGACTGAGTTGGAATTAAGTGTCATTGGTACATAAGTGATAAGGGAAGCTCTGGGTGTGGATGACTGTTCCCAAAGAGAAAAGAGCACTGAATGAGGGATAAAGGATCAAACAGGAAGGATGCTCGGGGCCAAGTAGAAGAGAACAAGCCAGCCCAGGAGCAACTGGAGAGGTAGGAGGGAAACCAAAAGTTGCCTGAGGGTTATGTCATTGATGTAGAGTAAATAATATATTTAAAAAGGGAAGTATCTTTCAGTTTAAATCTAGACCCATTCCCATCACCGCCCTCAAATCTATTGCGTGGCAGCCGTGCATCTCCGAGGCACTTCCGTAGGGCACCGTGACAAGTATACTTATTTATTTTTCTATTACTGTGACAGATTGCAGTGTGCGTGTGTTTTCTGCCTGGAACAACAACCTCCTTTCCTTTCTCCTACATCATTGCACTTTTGACTGCCACTGCAGTTTGTTGCAAATCCAAGCTCATTTCATCCCACGGAATACCAAACAATATCTGGTCTCGGGGGGCTCTGTAATTCTACTCCAGGCGCCCCACCTTCATTTGCCAGCTGGGATCTCTTAATGAGCTAGCTGCACACAGTTCGATACTAACACTCTTTTAGCTGGTGAAATATGTTTGAAGGTCGCACTGTTGGAGTGGTCCACGTTAGGCCCGCCTCCATGCTGTCTCCAACAATCTCTCCCTTTTCAGGATGGCTGCAGCGCCCCCGAGTTGCTGTTTGGTGGCCTTCCCGCCGCGTGCCAAGGACGGTCTGGTTGTATTTGGAAAAAATTCAGCTCGGCCCAGGGATGAAGTGCAGGAGGTTGTGTATTTCCCGGCTGCGGATCATGAACCCCAGAGCAAGGTGGAGGTAAGTGATGCATAACAGGCTCTCACTTAGCGGCCGTCGTCTTTCTCTGGCTTTGCGCAGCACACCATCACGACTTTCATGGAAGCCGGCTCACGAGTCAGAACTCTCATGTCGGCTGTCGATTCCCTTTTGAATTAGGCTTGACTTGTAGCCTTAAAAATAGGGTCATATGGAGAATTCTATGTTCGTTGCTAGGGCCCTTATTTTATAATTACATACAATATTTACATGGTTCCAAGTCAAATCTACAAAGCAAGGTACAGGCATACCTTTGGGGATATTGCAGGTTTGGTGCCAGGCAACCGCACTAAAGCAGGTGTCATAATAAAGTGAGCTGCAATCGTTTGGCTGGGGTAGGGTCTTGCCTTCAATTTGTAAAAAAAAACAACGCAGCCTGGGTTGGGTACTAGATTGATCGGGGGCATCACTTCATAAGTTATATAAATGTCTAATCACCATGTTGTACACCCGAAAGGAATATAATATTGTATGTCAACTATAATTGGAAAAAAAACCACAAAAAACCCCCACAATGTTTGTGAAGCCTAATAAAGTGAAACGCAATAAAACAAGGGATGCCTGTATATTCTTAGAAGTCTAGTTTCTACCTTTGTCTCGTTTACTCCGTTGCCTTTTTCTCCTATATGTAACCATGTTTGGGAAGTTTTCTGGTTTATCCTTCCATTAAAAGAAGTACATACATATGTAATAAACCACACACACACACATATGTAATAAACCACACACACACACACACACACACACACACACACACACACACACACACGCACGCCTATGAGTATTCATCCCAGCACTTCTCCTTTCTTACATGAATGGTAGCGTGCCATCTATCCTTTTATCTACTTGCCTTTTTTCAGCTAAAACCATATCTTGGAGATCACTCTGTATGGTAAACAGAGGTAGTCTTCATTCCTCACTTAGAGCTCCATAGCGCTCCGTTCTGTGGATGTATCATACTTTAATCGACCCCATGGAACTGGATGTTTGGGTTGCTTTCCAGTCTTTTGCTCTTACAAATAGTGCTGACGTGAACGAGAGCCTGGTCTTGGTTCTGGCACAGTGTCTGGTCTTGGTTTACAGATTTTTATTATGTTAAAAGTATTGTCCATCAGTTTCTATTTAGAGTGCTTAATAAAACAGTGTGTGTCAGGATTTCTTTGGGGTAGGTGCCTAGAAATGGGATTGCTGGTCACCGGGTAAACAAGGACGCGCTTTTGTTAGATGTTATCAAATTTCCTTCGTAGGTGGTGTGCCACTTTGCATCCCCACCAGCAATGTATGAACAAGGCCTCTTTCTCCATATTCCCAGAGCATGTCATCAGACTTTCATGATGGCTGTTTTATGTTAATTTTACATTCTGCTCTTTTTATCCTCAATATTCTAAAATTCTAAAAAAATTTTTATTGGTTGTGTGAGCTCTTATCATTGATTCTTTTGGGTTTTCCTGGTGTATTGTTATAATACCTACAAATAGAGAGAGTTTGATTGCTCTTACGTGTCTAATTATTTTCTTGTCTGATTGGCATATAGCTTGGATTCAGTGTTAATAGTAGTGGATGGAAATTGTAACTGTCTTTGCCTTTGGTCCTGACTTAAGTGGGGCAGCCTCTGTTGCTATCACATTAAGTAAGATGCTGGCTTAGGACTGATATATATATATATATATATATATATATATATATATAAATAACTTTATCATGTTAAAAAGTATACATCGATTACTATTTTGAATACTTAAAAAAAGAAACCCTAAGGAATAGGTATCAAATTTTATTAACCATCTTTTCGGTCACTTGGTAGTCTTTCAGTCACCCAGCCATCTTGGTCATCAGATCCATTGTCAGAGTGGTGCAGTGCTTGTGTTCAAGGAACTCCTGTTTTACTTAATAATGGTCCAAAGCACAAGAGTAGTGATGCTGGCAATTCACATATGCCAAGGAGAAGCCAGAAAGTGCTTCCTTTAAGTGAAAAGGGGAAAGTTCTTGACTCAGTAAGGCATTTTATCATGTCACATCATCACAAAAAGAAGGGTGAATATAGTACAATAAGATATTTGGAAAGAGACCACATTCACATAACTTTTATTACAGTATATTGTTATAATTGTTCTCTTTTATTATTAGTTATTGTTGTTAATTTCTTATTGTGCCTAATTTATAAATTAAACTTTATTATAGGTATGTATGCACATATAGATAGAAACAGTATATATAGGGGTTGCTACTACCCGTGGTTTCAGGGACCCATATGGGTCTTGGAACATATATCCCCCATGGATAACATGTATTACTGTATAAATATGTCTGAAATAAATATTTTAGGAAAATTTGTTTTTTTTGGGGGGGGTGGTAGGCAAAATAACAATCTTTTAGTATCATGGTTACAATCATGTTAGGAAATAGACTAGATTCTTTTCACTAGTGAACCCATGGTATATTATTACTCACTACATCATAGGTTGAGTTATGTCCCCTTGCATGAATTAGTTCAGTTTGATGCATGCCAGAATTAGCTTCTCAGGCAGACCTGACCTCTTTTCTGAGGTGCATGTCTGTATTTGGAGCTGCCTCTGCACATTTCCACATCCAATTCTGCAGGTAAAATCACCTCACAGGTCGGAATCCCATTTGTTTTTGCCATCTCATTTGCTCTCTTTCCTCTGACAGCACCCTGATTTGCCACATAGTTTAACCAGGAACCAGAGGGAAATGTTGACCCTGATTTCCCCACTCATCCTGGATGCATGGAGACAGTTGTCACGGAGTCCTTTCTCTCCTGTATCCCCATCTTTTCCCCCTGCCCCCATCCCATTCAGACCCACCCCCACCTCCCTTCCACAATCTGCCTATTGGTGCCCCAGTGCCTTTCTCCTGGACTCTTACCTCTGCAGAGTCACCAGAATTTTATTGTCCCCAGAATACAGCTCTATCACTGCCTTGTTTAAAAATGGTGGGTTGTGTTTATAGGACAAGAGTCCAGGCTGGTTTGTGTCTATGCCATTCAGAACTCTTCCCAACCGGCATCCTGCTCACTTATCCTTTCTTTCCTTTTCTTCTTTCAAATGAATAGACTTTACTTTTTAGAGCAGTTTTAGGTTTACAGAGAAAAAGGAACAGAAAGTACCGAGAGTTCCTATATATAACCCCTCACCACCCCCAGCCCCGCCTCCCAGGTTCCCTTATTATGAACTTCATGCATAAGGGTGGGACGTTTGTTAGGATCGATGAGCTAGTATTGACACCTTCTTAGCCACGAAAGTCCATCACTTACATTAGGGGCTCACCCTTGGTGTTATACATCCTGTGGGTTTGTACGCTGTATAATGATATGTATCCATCATGACAGCCTCATAGAGAGTAGTTTCACTGCCCTAAAAATACCTTGTGCTCTTCTCGTATTAATCTCTCCCTTCCCCCAACCCCTGGTAACCACTGATCGTTGCACTGTCACCACAGGTTTGTCTTTCCTAGAATGTCATAGTTGGAATCATAGACTATGTAGCTTTTTCAGATTGGCTTCTTTCATTTAGTTATATGCATTTAAGCTTCCTCCTCAAGTCTTTTCCAGGCTTGCTAGTGCATTTCTTTTCAGTGCTGGCTAATATTCCATTGTCTGGAGGTACCATAGTTTATTTTTCCATTCGCCTATTTTGGTTGCATCCAAGTTATGGCAGTTATGAATAAAGTTGCTGTAACTATTTGCATACAGGTTTTTGTATGGACATAAATTTTCAACTCAATTGGCTAAAGATACTTTTTAATGTCATGTTACATTTTGAGTAGGTACTACATTGATGTGGTTCAAAGACCACCTGATATTAGAAAGGTTTGTAGTGAGGAGTCTTACCCCCCTATTCCTATCTACTCTGATTCCCATATTATGTAACGCTTTGTAGTAATTTCTTGCACATCCTTTTGGTGTTTTATACAACTGCACGTAAATACGAATACTTAGCCTCCTTTTCTTTTTTCATGAAAATAGCACATTATATACACTATTCTGAAAATTGATTGTTTGAAATATATCACTTCAAACTACAGAAAAGGTCTACCATTTGCTTTTTAGTTTAATAACATTTTCTCAAGGGTCTTCTATATCTGTACATAGAGATTATAATTTTTATAGCTGATAGCAGTTCACTGTGGAGATTTTCCATGATTTATTTAATCAGTCCTCTACTGGTGTACCCTAGTCTAGAAAGTATAGCCGTGAAAAACACTGTACATAAGTCATTCTGTGCATGCGTGGGTGTAGCCATGCTATGCTTCCAGATGCAGGATCACTGACTGGGTCATAGGGTGAAGTTTTTGTAGTAGTTGAGCCCCATAAGCTTTGTGCAATTTCCTGCTTACTTTTCTATCCTCATTTTTCGTTTTCCTCTTCCAGCCCCAGCTACACTGAGCTGCTCACTGTTTCTTGAACAAACAACACACTTGTATTTCTCAGTGTTTTTGCTTTTTCTGTGCTATGCTGAGAATGGTCTTCCTCTCCCCTCCTATCATTTACGTGGTAGACTCCTATGCATCCTTCAGGACCCCAGGACCGATATCCCCCCTCCCTGCATGTTCTGCCATTATGAATCAAATGAAATTTACAATCACCTGAAACGAGGGGGATGAGTCCTGGCCCGGGAGGCAGGGTCCTGGGTTCCAGTCTTGCCTTCTGCATTTTCTGTATCTTGGGTCTTTGAGACTTAATTTCCCCATTTACCAGATGGAGATCATAGCATCTACTGTGTCTGCCTTACAGGATTTTTTGTGAAGCACACGTGAACTGACATGTGAAAGGACTATGTAATTTCTAAGGGGAACATTGTGTAGAGAGATAGTTGTTCTTATTTTTTAAACAAAGAATTGACTAGTACTGAGAGATTCTGTGATTCTGGTCTCAGTTCCCAAACTCCTCTCTTTAGCACATGCTTCTGAATTTGCTGTTCAAACTTACACTTGGGCCTTTAATTCCCTTACAGTTACACATG